CAAAACCAAGAAAATAAAATAACAACAAAAAAATAAAAAAAGCTAAAGAGTTGAATTCTTGATCGCCAAATCTTCTGGAATTCTCTAGTTTTTTCTTGAGCTCCAACAAGACTTTTCTTTAATGATTTTGTGGCTTGATTTTCAACTCTCAATCTGGTGCTTTATTATATTTATAAACATCCTCCAAAAGGTTATTTTTATAATGGTTTCAAGTTAGGCCAAGTTGGGTGAAGAAAGAATTCATTTCGAACTAGAATTTCCTCATTAGACTATGTGGGCCATGGCCTACCCCCTCTAAAGCCGCGATCTTGACCATTTAAATAGAAGAAATCATAAATGTTCTAAGATTGCTATAGTGCACCAACGTCGATAAAATTTTTGACCATCTTCCAAGCAAAATTAGGTGAAGTGGTAAACATCGAAGATTCACTTCATTTGGAGCCCTATAAAGTGAGGTATGGTCAAAATACCGAAACATATGCAGTAGAGGTCTACAGCTTGAAATTACTCTTCTTTTCCCGGTAAAATTCTTTTTTCATCAAACACCCAAAAAAGCACAAATAAATCAATAACAACCTATCTTAATCACATTAACACCAAATTAAGCATAAAATTAACTAACATTAGATTGACTCACCAAAATTAACTAATTAAAATAATTTAAATAAAACAAACTAATTTCTATGCATTATCACAAGAACTAAGCTAAATTACTATTAAAATTCAGTTCAAATAACACCAAATTACTATTAAAAATATCTAGCATTTAGGGACTAAATTAGGTACTCTTACCAGTTTTTGTTTATCATTACGTTTATACCAAAAATGTACTTTTACACATCAAAAGTTATTCTTAATTAGTAATTAAAAGCCATTGTCAAAAATGTTAGCTTAATGAATCAAGTAATAAGAATGTTTAATAGAGAAGGGCATTGGACTTTAAAAACTTTGGAGAATGAAGTATGAACTGCTATAGATGACTAAGGAAAAGCTCTAGTCAACTATGGTTGTATGTCACCTTGTTAAACCTTTTGAAAAACTATTTAGACAAATATATAGTCAACTATGAAGACTTGGTTGTCGGTCCTAAATAAGAAACTTGTTTTGAAAGCTTGTATAAAGAGTTCTAGGATAAGCTTTGATGAATGTACAAATTTTAATCAAGTCTACTAAAAAAAATATAGGCAAATAATTGCTTTGAAATATTTTAAAATGTTTTTCAAGTGTAAATCAAATAAAAGCAACTTAACAAGAATATTTTCAAGAAATACATAAGTAATGATGGTAGAAAGGGTCCAATCAAAATGGTAAACCTAGATGTGAAAATATAAGCAATTTGTGAAATGAGTTTTCTTCAAGCAAAATGCAACAAATCAAAGTAAAGAAGAAAATAAGGACACAATAATTTTATAGAAGCAAAAAACAAACCTTTTCAATATAAATTTTCCACTTAAGTCCAAAACAAAATATGCGATTTTTCTAAAATAGGTTTTCAACAATAAATCATGAAGCATAAAAGTAAATCAAGACACAAAAAATTTATAGTGGTTCCACTTTGGCAAAGGCCTACAGCCACTTTCTTGGCTCATCAAGGAATTTTCAATCCGCTAAAAAGATTCTTACTTTTTAACGAGATCAAACAGTAACCATCATACAATCCATGAAGGGATTCTTGCTTATAACTGTCACTTAAAATTCTACTACGCAAGTATACGTGTCAAATA